AGAATCCTGTTGAAATAGGGGAAAGACAAAAGAAATCCCCCCGAGTGAATCGCCTTGTGATTCGAGAGATGCCAATCGCTTTCTTAGGTCGAACGACCTTGTCTACTGTGTAGCCCCTGGCTCCTACGGACAGGAAGGGAATCGGGGAGATGTAGGACAAGGGGCAGGCTGATACGTTGCCGGGAGACTAGGGGTGTCAGCGTGGTCTGCCGACTGAGCGGGATTTCCCGCCACCAGGCGCTCGTTCCTTCCACCTCTGGACCCCGACTCGAGCATGCTCTCTCATTCCGGTCGCTGACACTGTTTTCTACTCTGAGTTTTCAAAATCCACTGGCTTGTAGTGCCATGCCACATGTAACAGAATAGTTCATTTCCAAGAAACACCTCGACAGGCAATTTTGACTCCAGTCTTTTTCCTCGAATGGTTCCTTATCTGGTGCTTCGATGAGGGCAAATAGTGTATCATTAGAAATCCATCTTTATCTAGCTTTCCCGCGATAGCAATTTTTCGTGATCCTGTAGGCTGGCGAAGAATCGAGAGAAAAGGAAGGGCATATGTCTGTTCCATTAAGGATAGGGAAAGCTGAGTTTTTTTGTTGTTGGTGGAAACTGTTATTGAAGAAAATCTGGTCCGTTTAGATTGCTCGTAGGGAAGAGTGATTATTCCACCATTAGGACGTTGCGACGGAAAGAGCCGAGCATGTCATGCTTCGTGGCAGTGGTAGGCCACGATATAGCTCGCCCAGGAATTGAATGATCCAAGAGAATGCAGGGAAGAATTGCACCGTCACCCATGGGGGGAAGTCTAGTTAGCATATCTCTCATATCATGTCTCTCGGAAACTTATGGGGGAAGGAACATGGTTTCTCTCGCTGTCTCGACAGCTCACCAACTATTGCCATAGTCGACATATCCGTTTTGAAATCCCTCTACACATAGGTTTTCTGTTCCTGTAGAAAAGGAATTGAAATAATAATACAACCGCTTATGAAGAATTTACTTTGCAATCCGAAAGAATCCGCTGCGTTGACGTATCCCTAAAGTTATTCAATAAGGAAATATATACTTATTTCAGAGAAATAGTTGATGCTCAGTTCGTCCAGTCGACTACATCCATTCTCTATCCATCTTGGACTCGATGGGGTCACGATGTTTTTGTTAGCTTCCTTCAAGTATAGCCCTAACCTTGAAAATTCAGTTGGTGTCCTGAGTCATGGCTGACACATGGCTCTGTTTTAACTTCCAATCACATTTCCCTGTCTTGTGCCTTTCGCTTTTCATCGAGAAATTCAGGTACTCCACATGACTTTCCTTTTTATTCTCTCAGTCGATTTGCATGCGATAATATTGTTTTCAAATAGGATCGAGGAAATGCATAAATGTGTTCTTTACACCTGGGATGTATTTTGAGTAGGAGTATGCTATTGAGAGAAGCGTACCGTAGGTGTCTATATAACCCCTCACACCCCTTCACCATTTGGGGCGTCTTAGTCTGCTATCAGCGTTTCTACTGATAGCAAGAGTTAGTTTACACAGATTTTTCTGTTTACCAGATCAGATGTCACGTTAAAAAAAAGCTTTTAATCGTCGGGACAATAAATAAAAAGGAATCGTGAACACAGGAAGCTAACCCGAAAGAAGAGGTCTATATACACACTACATATACTGTATATTGGCTTTCTCTGAACAAAGCACTGGCATTCAACTTCTAGAAGACTGGGCCAAGCATTTACAGTTATCCCTCAATTCCCTCCCCGTGTTTCAAGATGCTTTTTTTCTTTTTACATTATTCTTTGATTGCCCCTGAAAATGTTCAGCCTACGAGGTTCACTGACTCCCAACTTTTCCATGGCATGAATCTTTTTTTTTTCAATTTTTTTTTCATAAACTGGACTGACTTATGAAAATTTGACGTATTGCAGGCATTTCCCACGGAGCTCGTAGTTTTCATTGAACATTTGGGGGGAAAAAATCATGACGCGTTACCCAGATCTGTTCCATAAGGGTCCATTTTGCAAATTTTTATTATAACTAGTGTCACACGTGCTTAGAGGGGAAGCAAGGAAGGTATTTTTTAATTATTCCCACCCCTGAAGATACCGAAAGACATAGGCGGCAGATGGCGAAAGGCCAATCCTCGGTGACGTCATCATAAGTTTGCGGAATCGCGTTTCCTGGTCGTCAGTGATGACGTCACTGGAAGTTATCGAAGACGTCACAAATGACTTCCGCTTATCCATTCCCTCGCATTCGTTGGGACCGGAGCCGGACGACTCATGACTCACTTTTCCCTTCTCGGGGCGAATCTTATGTCTTCATGACTTTATTTTGGCCCCCGGTAATTTGTTGCACCTTCAGCTTACGAAGGCACTGTGAAAGTATTGTACTTATACGTATGGTTGTACCTATGGATGAGCTAAATCCGATGTTGATTTGAACTTGGAGAAGGTATGTACAGTTTTTTCACTTCAGTTAGACACTTTTTCACTTGACTTCGACACTCATGCATGAGGAACGTCCCATGCACGTGTGTTGCGTCAAGTGAAAAATTGTCGTAACTCAAGTGAAAAACGCTGTAGTGGCTTCTCCCGTTGCTACTGATTCGCAAGAATTTCCGCTTATCACGCAATATGCAATCACTCATACATACTGTCATTCTCTGGGGTTTTCATCCGTGATACCTAATAGATCACCAGTTGTTAGATTGTGCACGCCCCCTTGCAAACCGATGCAAGATGAGGTTGGGATTCTGCTAACTGGTCTGCTGCAAAAACGTGAAGGAATGCGAAGCCCCGTCCTTCGTGTCTCGCCTTCCCGTCCCGCAAAGTGCGAGGAGCATGATGCTATATCGTGACAGCCACTCGAATCAGCGCGGTGTCGAGGTTTTTCAAGTTCCCACGAGAGCTCGCGTCTCCTTCCCGAACGACCTGCTGGCAACTCATCCCAGCGTGGTTTCTCAACCGTGACCGAGAATAATGAGTCGGTAACATTTGGTTCCCCTCATTCATCTTTCTGACAGGGTTTCATGGGAACGAACTAAGCAAGAGAGTCAAGATGTTGAGTTTTCGGTTCTCTTGTAGTGGACAACTTAGAGCCTCATGAAATGGCCCCTCTTCCACGATAAAATTTGTTCTGTCCATTATTTACTAGCATTCCAAAATTAGGCCGTTTGAGAATTGTGTCCTCACGATTTGGCGAACACCGGTAATGACGTTAGTATGGGTATACCCATATTTCCCGGCTGTATCACAACCCCAGCTATCAATCTTGGGAAGATTCACATTTGTAGTCCATTTACAAACAATTTATTTAGGTGGCTTAAGGCTGTCCTATGGTTTTAGTGTAAATGGCAAGTCAAATGTGAGTAATATCAGCAGGCATGAAGAAAGCGTTTTAACTAAATTTTAATTCTCCCCTCGTAATTTCAGATATTTTGAAGGTTTTATATGCCCTCCGGAAATCGTTGGTACGAAAATAAATATTACACATTGTACTGGAAATTATACAGCAGCAGGAACTTGCTTGGAGTCTTGAGAAAAGAACTGCCAGATGTGTGATCAGGCTCAATGTTCGTGCTGGTCTTGATGTTGCTGGCGTTGCACTCCTCATTCACAGTCAGTTCTCTACCCTCTGACGGTCACTGAGCGACTGCTTGAACCTTCCAAAACAACCCACCAAGAACCCTGTTACCTTCCTTAGAATATGAGTTGTTGCCTTTTTACTATATGCGTGTAAACGAGGCCATCTGAGGTTAAGTTTTGGCTATCTTATCATCCTTGTGATGAGACCCTTTCCTTCTCCGTGACCCATAGAATTCTTGCCCAGTTTTGTTCGTAAGGGTTTGGTTCCTGGTGAAAATGCTGCACTTGGGAGGTTAAGATGTGATGAAGTCGAACTGTGCCGTGACATTGGAGGATGTGGATGAAATGTGCGTGAATGGAGCTGGATCCGAGTGGAGTGTGTGTAGGAGTGGGTGAAAGAGAGAGAGGAAATTCCTTTGCATGTACTCCCCCGTCTTCTCACTCATTCACTCACATTCTCACATACACGGGTTGCCCCCTAGTGGTGCAGTCAGTCCTCTTTCTCCTCCTCCTCCTCTCCCTACTCCCCGCGTGAGAGGGAGAGCTCGCTCTCAGGGCCTGGGCTCCTTTTTCCTTTGTGCCTGCCTTACTGTTTCATTCCTATGCCCCCAGGCCTCTATTCTGCCCGCCCCAGCCCCGCAAGTCTCAATAGACATTTCCCATGCCCACGACGCCTTCCTTCTCTCTCCCTCTCCCCATTACCGGTGACAGTGCTTGGTTTACTTCTCCTCGTTGTATGTTTCTGCGAGCCTCGATCTCCGTTCCCGCCTCCTCTAGGCCTATGATAGATATCACTCACCTTGTCTCACTGCTCCCGACATGCCCTTCCACACAGTAGTGCGGGTTTCGGAAGGCCCTGTGTAATGATGGCGTTGGAATGACTCTGGACGGTTTCCATCTCTCTTCGCATGAAACCGCCTGATGAGAATTATCGCTTCTTACGTTCAACCTGGTCGAGTCGTGACATTTGACAATGGGGATTTCTCTCCTTTGTGCTTTTGGATGGAATCCAAGGATTCGGCCGAGTGCGAGGGCTGTTTTTACAGGCACCGAGGCAGGATGCCACCGTCCTTCTTACATTGCCTCCTAAGCTTCTGCCTGGGGGCACTTTGATTTTCATTTGCCTCCATCTGCCCCAAATTGTGCAAAGCTGTCCGGCAGAGAGGGGGAAAACGAACACTCGATTCTTGCTGTGTGGAGGCAGGGAGGGAGATGCATACGAGATGAGATCCATGAGCAGCCTAGGAGGCGGCCAGCCCGCACAGCCCCAGGCCGTGCGGGCTTCTCGTATCACTTAGGCGAAACGTCTTCACGGATTCTTCATTCAGTTATTTGCTCTCTTCGCAGGTTTATATTGAGGCAGCTGTGGCCTTATCTACTTACATCATGGTGCACGCGTACCATTGAAAGCATTGGAAAATGGAAGATACGTCGGCCTTGGAGATCATCAATTCCTTGCCAGACTTGGTTCTGGCCAAGATGGACGAAGGAGAACTGGAAGATGAGGATGATGTTGAAGGAGAAGATGAAGAGGAACAGCATGAGAAAATTAATGGAGGTGGTTCCAAGGTGGCTAATATCGTGCAGTTGGTCCTGGATCAAAGCCGGGCTGTGAATCAGATGCTTCAGATGGCCAAGGTCGGACCTGGACCCAGCCTGGAAGATCAAGAGAAGAGCAAGGAGGAGGAAATGGGAAAGAAGAAGAGAAAGAAGAAGAAAGCCAATAAGTCGATGGTGGCACTGTTACAGAACCCGAACCCAGGTCGGACATACAACTTCGTTTGGAACGAGAAACACATCGTGAACGAGAACGGGACCCGGATGTTCTGCTGTGACATTTGTGGCGGGAAGTATCAGCGGGCCTTCTCCCTCAAACGTCACTATCTTAAGACTCACATCAACTTCAATTACTTGTCAGAGAGGGATGTGGTGAATTGCGGGATCTCGGTGATGAGGAAATGCAAATCCACACGACCAGACTTGTCATCCTCAGACACAGGGATGAAGAATCTCTTCACTTGCCACTTGTGTGGAGACGGATTCGACGAGGCCAAGGCCTTATCGAATCACTTGGGAAGACATGGAGAGAATCCGTCATCGTGTGACAAAGAAAGACGCTTCTCATGCGATCTCTGTGGGCTTCGATTTATCCACAAGCACAACCTGAAGCGGCACCTGAAGAAACTTCACCACCAACAAGATCTATTCTCCTGCCCCGTGTGTGAGAGAACTTTCCTATCCAAGCAACGTCTTCATAGTCACGAGGTCATCCACTACATATCACGATATTCCTGTGCGGAATGCAAAACAGTCTTCTCCAAGCAGGAAGAGCTTCAGGCCCACATTAGTGCCGGTGAATGCAATCATGGAAGTTCGTCTACGCAACACATGAGTCCTCTGACCACAAAGACGACAGCAATGGCACCCAGCAGCAGTCATGGTGCTTTGCCGTTGAGTAACGGCACCAACTCCACGTTCGCCTACTCGTGTGCGGTGTGTGGGCAGAACTTCACGGATTACGTGGCAATGTGCAAGCACCGACGTCAGGCGCACGGGATGTCTAAGACAAAACCAAGCCCCAATGCAGGGTCGGGGTCCAGACCTCTCATGCCGAAACCTCAGCACAAGCAACCTGTCCCAGTGTTTCCCAATCGAGAGATCACCATTTCCATCAAGGACCCGAAGGAATTACATGAGAAACAGAGGGAAGAAAGAGTCCATTCTCCGCCGGATGTCATTCTCGTTCCTTCTGCAGTTCGCCCCACCATCGCCATTACGACGCCCCATAGCACGACGACGGGTGTGGGGATGGGGACAATGTGGAGACTCCCTAAGGAACTGAGCATCCTCCCGGCGGTGTCGGTTGTTCCAATTCCAGCGGTTCCGCCGAGCCCCTCCAGCGTGGAACATCCCTTGAATCGCCTTCAACTTCTCGTCGCGGGACAAGGAAGAGAATCCATAATGCCTCCCCCACCCCCAGCTCATGTCCACGTTCGGCCTGTACCCACCCCACGACCCCAATTCCTTCTCCACCCACCCCGTCCACCTGCAGGCGTTCGCCTTCCCATGGTCCAGCTGCCTTCCCCGAAGAAAAAAGTTCTGCCACCATCCGCCACCATGAAATTGAAATCGGCTCAGTCGAAGAAAGGTCGAAAGGAGAGTCAAGGAATGACTGAATCTCCTAGCATTTTCTCATGGGCCCAGTACAATTTCCCTCCGGAATACCACGAGAACGAAGACAGAAATCAAGGAAACCTTCCTCCAAAAACCGCATATGTTCTTGTTGGTCAGAACGAGAGCCTCAGGACGGACAGCCACAACGTCTCAGATCTTTCTCAATACGATCTGAGCACCCAGGCCCTGTTGTCCAATATTAACAGGGGAACAAGACCGAGAAAGGATGATGAAGCAGAAGTGGACCCATTTCTGCAATGCTTAGGACTGTACAGGAAGACAAGTGGATCCCAAGACAACGGTGGAATCCAAATGGCGGAAGCAAAAGACTCCCCATTTTCGTCGGTGGTGGAAATGAGGTACCTTTGTCAGACATGTGGGTACCAGGACTGGGAAGAGGTGGCTGTGGCAAACCATGCCAAAACAGAACACCCGGGTGTCCTTGCGAAGGTGTCTGTCTTTGAAGGTTGCCAAGAAATTCCGATTGAAATGACGGAGATCGCAAGAAGCACTGCCAATGGCCTACTTACGACTTCTGTCGTCCCACCGAGTGTGAAGGACGGTCAGCAGCTGGTCTGTACCAAGTGCTCGTCCGTTTCCTATACTTTGGGAGATCTTCATCGTCATCTGTTGGAATGTGGAGGCTTGCAATGGGAAGGAGTGAAACGAAAGAAGAGGAGGAAGGAGAAACGAGGGCGGGTTGCCAGGCTGGTTGGCACATCATCATCGTCACCAACCTCATCATCGACCTCATCGACGACCACGGAAACCTCTAACCTGATGGCTTCCATGAAATCTTCACCCAGGCTTACTCGACAAGCACATTTCTCAGCTGGTCAGTCCTATTTACCTAAATTCAAAGCACTGCTGCGAATGATCAATGACCAACTGCAATTTATTTATGGCAATACTTGTCTCATCACAAATTAGTACCTCTGTACTATTGATTCGATGATTCGAGGAACCCCAAGTTCATTATCACTTGCTAATACGAATGGGGGGGGGGGGGGAGGGTAATGGGCGGTCAATGATCGCAATAAGAGTATCCTGAGGTAATTATGGAATACAAGTTGAATGTGCACACAATGCGGGAAGAAAATATTGCTCTGGCTGTAAGTAAACAAAAAATCCGAGCCAGATTTGAAATTTTTGTTTTTCATTAGCCATGTGTCCCGAAAACGAAGGAAGATAGGATAGGAATGGTATTCTCTAGGGATAAACGCAATCGGGTGAAAAGATGTAATAAGCCGATCTGGGAAGGAGCTGTCTTGAGCTGTTTGGAAAGATAACACCGGAGTTGCAGGTTCCCAGCTGTGACGAACACAAACCTGGCTTCTAGGTTTTTTTTTTTTGCTTTCTCTCTTCTTTCCTCCCTCGTCGGCCCGTGTCGAGATCGAGATAACGTGGATAGCTGTGTGTGCGTGAGGGTGAGTATGTGTGATATAAGAGAGGGAGAGAGAGAGAGAGAGAGAGCGTGAGTGTGGAATGGGATATGAATTTCCATGAAGCATTCCAGTGACTGGGGTCTGAGAGCGAGGGATGGGAGGGGCCTTGAGAGGCAGGAATGGGCGGATAAAGTGAGGCCCTAGAGAGAGGCTAAGGGACACGAGACTCGCTCGTTCCGCCGTAACGGGAAGGATACATAGCACACTACCGCACGAATTCCCGCACATCCTATCTCATCCATCTACCAGATATAGAACAGAAGTAAAGAGACCTTGGCATACTCATTGGATCGCTGGTACAGAAGGGAAGTAAGTCCATTATGGAAATTACCTAGGTGAAGCAATGGTAAAAGTCGACAGGGAGGAAAATATAGAGAAGACGGGGAACGGAGTGAGAAGCTCTCCGCATTTGCAAGCGTAGGGGTGCATCTGTGATTTGTGAAGTCAGGGTCGTTGCAATGAGGAGAGGAGAGATTGTGACGGAATGGAATGAGAGAGAAAGGAAAGGAAAGGAAGGGATCTATCCACTGGAGGGCGTGTGGAGTGGAGGACGGATGGCCTGAGGCGACATTCCACCCTCCTTCTTTCACTCCACCTGCATCTGCACGATATCATCTGTCTTCCTTCCCCGCTTCCCTGTCTCCCTCTGATAGTTAGCCGTGAAGATGAGACTGGGAGCGAGAAACCGTGCCAGCGAAGAACCCTGAAAAGCAGAGGGACAAGGGATCCCTAATGGTTCGGCGGGCAAGCATGCCAATGCCCATCCTGGGGAGTTCAAAGTGACCTCTCAATTATAAAGCATGATACTGCCTTAACCTTTTTCAACCGCTTGTCGGAATTTGGTCCGACATTGCCAACTTACCTATTCCCGTCCATATTCGTATCTGGTTCAGCAAAATTTTCCCATTCCGCTCCACTGTTGAGCTTGAAGTCAGTGTGACTGGACGTCATCTACGTTTTAATTACTTTAATATATAACTGTTTTCCGTTTACATAAACATTTCGTAATTAATAGGGGCTGGTGGGGTGTATAGGTGTCAGGAAAATTGAGTGCAAAGGGTGCATCTTGGTGCATAATGGTTCTTTCCTGTTCAGTTTTCCCGTCCTGGCTACTCAGATTCACGTAGAAACTCTGAAATTGGTATTTGAACTGACAGGTCAGTGTCCCTTCTAAGTTTTGATTAACGGGGGCTTTATGGGAAGTTTCCCGTTGTCAAAATGACCGAACAACACCTACTGATATACAGGATGCCCCGAAATTGTCATTTTCGGTTTCCTTGTATCTCCTCGTTCGTTCTCTGGAGAATTAGATGTTTCTTTACAATTCTCTCCGTGGAATACACAGAATTTAAGAGGTGACCATGCGGTAAGTGCTTCGAATTAATTCCTTGGTGTTATTCATGATACTGGGTGACGTGATCGTTGACTCTCCTAAATCTCACTCATTGTCAAGGGTTTTGTTTATATTTTCTTTAATTAAAGTAGTACTCTCCGAAAGCTTCACCAAAATATGTGAAGGGACCCCCCGCACCTCCCTTTCGAAAATATCAGTTCACATGATGTAGACCCCATGCGTGAGATTCTCGCTGCAAAGAAGTTAATAGTCAAGATAGTTAGTGACATCAAGAGGCGATTTCGCCCATTTCGATATCACGTGTCGAGATCGCTCGGCTCGAGCCCTATCCGCCTCCCCCCTTATGGTAAAACCTATCTATAATAGTTTCCCCACTATCCGTACTCAGAACACTCTGACCCTCGAACATGTTTTTTCAACGATGTGGAGGGAGGCTGGTTTTTTCGCCCGATTTTCATGCCTTTTTTTTGGCCTTGTATCGAATGTTGACCTCGGTAGGAGCTGTCATCGAAATGAAAGAGAATTCCAAGCCTTTATACATTCAAGAAAGGAGTGCATCAAGCTTGGAAAAGCCGGTGAAATTTACTCTTTAATCTCGGACATGAAACGCACAAATTTACCCCCTGGACATGCTGTTTTTTAATGTTCATCTCTTTATATGCAACTGCACATTCAAATTCATATAAATTTCTTTTAAAATTACAATAGGATTTTCAAATGCAATGGAAATACTTAATGATGTGATGCTTAACCCCCTTAGTTAGTCTTCCGGGGTCGAATGAGCCCCACGCGAAATTGAAAACGACGCCACCGATAGATTGCAGCACTGCGGCGTTTGTTGTTTACAGTACCTTCCTAATAAGTACCTTGAAAATAAATATACAAATCTTGCTTTGGCTGCATCCACTGATCAAAAATTAGTATCAGAAGTGGACAAGCAATATCAGTAATAATATATGTTCAATGCAGATATATGTCTTTATCTTGAATACTTTAAATTGAAGTACCTTCTATCTCTATGTTTTACTTATTTTTATGCAGTATTTGTTGAGTGCTTTCCAGTTTGAATGTGCTTTTGGGTACACGTCACACATGATCAAAAGGGTTAAGCATTGTACAAAGTTGAACAAAGCGCCTCTGAAGTGAGGATTTCAATCAAGAAGGGATAACTACACTAATGTGTAGCTGTTATTTGATGGAGATTGTTAAACCGGGGTTGTTAGGAGAATCAGAGGTAGAAGGCATTGCCAAATGTCTCCTTGCAGAGCATTCCCAAGAGGAGTATCCAACTTGTGAGTGGATTTGTGAATGGATTCATTGAGTGCACAGTTGGCACATTTATTGCCACATGTATCACCAGAACATGATAGTGGTGTTGGATGACACAGTACCACAAGTGGCAATGAAAATTATGGATCCTTGTGGCTTTTTCATACCTCTGTTCTGTCATAGCTGCCATAGTTTGTGTAGAATGCAAAAGGAAAAATGAACAAACGACAACAAAACATTTCAATATATTTTATGGGTGGAAGGTAGGAGGGTAGCCACTCACCTTCCCCCCCCCCCCAGCAGCCCTTTAAAGTGCCAAACCCTTACCCCCTCCCCCCCTTTCTGCTTTGCTGCCCCTGACCCCTTGGCTCATGAATCAAAGTACACCACTGGTCTCTCCTTATGCATGACATGCGGTGGGTGAGGGAGATGAGGGGGGGTGACTGACACACAACATTGGAATTTGTCAGGTCAGCAGTGCATGCTCTTCAACTCCATGCATTCAGATCAAGGCATTTTAAATGTGTGCTTGTCTAGCCCAAGCTGAAGTTGAATACATCCAGTGAGAGCTTTGATGGCTATCTTTGCCTGTGAACAGTGGCAGATACAGAGGGGGGGTGGGGGGTGACTGCCCCCCCTATGGCCAGGTTAGCATTTGATTTATTTATTCAAAATAGCATCTGCATTAGATTTTATTGGAGCCAGTGAAATAGATACTCAAGTTCATACCCCTGACAAAAAAATTTTAAAAGTGAAAGGACAAGAAATGGTGGTGGTAGGTAGGAACTTGGGAATTGCCCCCCCTATGAAAAATTTTTGTATCTGCCCCTACCTGCAAAGACTTATAAGATTATTGCTCCATTTACAGTAGAAGGAAGTTCATATTTGTTGGTAGTTCATCAGGAGAAATGTGACAGTAAGAGGGTGGATGGTGAATCCAAATAGATGTAGCTCTTTCCATTGTCATAAATTGGGCATCATAGGAAGATGCAACACTTGCACATTCCTTTCCTGTTTCCCAAGGCAATAATGTAGAGAGAAAAATGTCTCCTTGTATTTACTTATGAACCATTTTCATTCAGTTAGAAAGGATTCAAAATATACTGATACATATATCTGAATCATAATTTAACCTCAAAGTATCAACTATTTGTATCTCCAGGACTTGCATGAAGTATTATTATCTTTAATAAAGAGGTATCTCTAACTACATAATATAATTTTTATTATGCTATTTTTGCTTTTTTACTGTGATGGCGCCTCCTGCTCTGGTGTCTATGGTGGTCACCCTGATCATGCTCCCTCCCTAGCTACAGCTCTGTTCTTGCTAGGTTGTGGATGTGATCACCAATTTAGACTGATGAGATACATCTGGATCCATACCATCAACCTTGCTAGTCTAGTATTTAAAGCATTTGTGTGGCATCTTGAAATTGTAATGAACCCAATTTATTTATTTTTTTAGTTGCAAACTCCAGCATGAACTCTGCTGGAACCATCATGGGCCTGAAGAAGCACTTGCCAAAGAAACGACCAGCTCCTGTACCACACAAAACAGCAGTGTGTAAACCTACTCCTGAGGAACCAAAAGATACTGATAATTCTGAATCGCATTCCTTCAAAGGGATCAAGGTCATAATTCGAGGAGGAAAAGTGATCCAACAAGGCGATTCATTTGACAGGGAAGAGGTTCAGGAAAATAAAGAGGTAATGGAGCCCTCCACCAAGAAGGTAAAGCTGCACAAGAACAAGAAAAAGAAGAGAAAGTATAGAGAACAAACCCAGGAAGTGAATAAAGCAGTCATGGAAAAAGAATTAGCCCCAATCCAAGAGCATGAAGTGAGAGATGTGGTCAAGGAGGCACCTGAGGTCAAAGAACCTGTAAAGAAAAAGGGAAGGATAAAGCAAAAGTTTGATTCAGGCATATCTCCTACATCTACTCTTCCTCCAAAACAGGTATCTCCAGCTACTGTAAGTGGAGGTTTTGCATGCCAATCATGTGCAGAGATCTTCACCAATAAATCAGCAGCAGAACGCCACATGAAAAAGTGCCCTCTGAAACCTGCAGCTGCCCTGCCACCCTCTCGAATTCAAGAGAAATCTTGCAAGCCAGTGCCCAACCTGCATTCCCGTAGCTGCCCACACTGTCACAAAACCTTCACATATCTGACAGTGTTGTCAAAGCATGTATTATTATGCCAAGCCAATCCAAAAAAGAAGGTCAAGGAACCTTCTAAGGCCTTGCTCCCTCAATTAAGGGCACAAGGAATGAAACGGAGGAGAAAAAAGAAGTCCCGCCTGGTTCACATCAAGAAGAAGAAACTAGTAAACAGACAAGAGGAAAATGAGAAACCTGAACCTGGAAATTTTGGGAAAGAGGAAGATGTGAAGTATTCAGAAGTTGCTGTGCAGGTGGATGAAGATAAGGAGATGAAGGATGAATGCAGGGTAGAGGAAAATGCAGAAGAGGGAGAAAAAGGAAGTGAAGAAGAAGAAAATGCAGAAAAAGAAGATGAAGAAAAAGATGAAGAAAAAGAAGAAGAAAAGGAAGAAATAGAAGAAAGCAAAGAAGTTGAAGAAGAAAGTGAAGAAAAAGAGGAAGAAAAAGAAGAAGTAAAAGTGGTAGAAAAAGAAGAAAAAGAGATAGAAGTAGAAGAAAAAATGAGAATGAAGAATGAAAAAGAAACTGAAAAGCAGCAACAGGAAAACATGCAAGAGGAAGAAGCAGCTGATACTGAAATATTGGGATTAGCAGAACATATTGAAGGAAAAGAAGTAGACTTGAATGAAGGCAAAGATACAGAAGGAGAAGTAGCAGGGGATGAGTTGACAGAGGAAGGGGATGTAGTTGACATAAATGATTATGAGAATGTTAACAGCACATGTTCCTGTGGTCGGAGTTTCAGAGCCCAAGCCACACTGAGTAAGCATAAGGAAATGTGTGCGATGGAAAAAGCCCTGAGTCTGAGTCAGGCAGAGTCAGTGAAGGTGGAGGATTTTGATGAAATATGCATACATAAAGACAGAGATGGAGATGATGATGATGACGATAATGAAGATTCCATGTTGAGAAGACCTGGTGACCATAAGTGCACCATATGCTCAGTTGCCTTCCCAAGCCTCATGAAGTTCTGGGTTCATCGCCTTTGTCATCTTCTCCTTGATCGTACTTCCTCTGATGACTGGGACTTGATCCTCACGTATGTGTGCGTGGAGAACTTCAAACTCCAGCAGATTGTGCGTCGCCTGCTGGAGTATGTTGAGGATCTTGCTGAAGATGAGAACATACCTCTTTCCATCCTAGAGTCTTTTCGCTTGCATGTTCACCGTCATCTCACAGCACAGGAGGTCAAGGAAAATTTCCACATGTTGAAGACAGTTTATGTCCAAAACAAAGCTAAAGGGACTCCTGGTCGAAGCAAGACAGGCTTATCAAAGGCAGACCCAGAAAGGATTAGCTGTTCAACACCAGAAGTATATCCAAGTTCTCCAGTGACCCCTCAAACTTCAGTTGCAGAAGCAAATCAAGATGTGCCAAGTATGTATGTTCAAGATGAGACCCCCAGCAGGTACTATGCTGAGTCAGAGGCAAGTTTTTCATATGAGGGGGAACAGGAATCTACAGATTCTTCACCAATACCAGGTGGAGCAATTTATGAGTCCGTTAATGTTCTCTTCGATCAAGACTTCAAGCCAACTGGATCTTCCAGTGATGGCTTTGGATTAGGAATGCTTGGGGGGGAGAGCATGAAAGCCCTTCAAGAAGCCATGGGGATTTCAGATGAACAGATGGCATTGCTTCAGTCACTTGGCATGCCAGAAAACTATGAGAAAACAACTGTATCAACAACTGAAGGAGATGATGAAACGGGGAATGATCAGCCAGTGATTTTGGATCTTGATGAACCTTCTGCTTCTACCACAAGTACTCTTAGCACTCCTGAGTCTGCAGGTGAGTATCTCTGTCACTTTTTGGATAAATAGAGGCAACATATGAGTAATCTTGTTTTAGCTCAGTTGCAGTGAGGTAATGCATAGTGTCTGCATTCCCTTACCCCTTGCAAATCTAGCAAGGGAAGCCCCAGACTGTTATTGTTATGTTCTAGAATAGATAAGAAATTGAACTTTTTTGGCTTTCTGTTTTAGGCATAGACTCACTAGGAAATTTTCCATTCATTTCATTCAAAGAGCATGGATTCCACCCATATTCCAAAAAGGAAGGACCATAAAAGTGGTAAGGAAGAAAGGGGAATCTCTCTTTTGTCAGCACCACTGGGACAACAGACCCAGTCCAGAATCAGTGGGAATTAAGATTGAGAGAGATAGGTGTAGGAGGAATCACAGTATTTATAGTTTAATTTTTTCACACCATATTTTGCTTTTCTCCACTTTATTGTCCTCTGAAAATCTATCTGTAACATGCCCTATGAAATATAAATGAATAATATGAAATATATGAAATATAAATATAAATATTTGATGAAAAAACCATGCCATGAGAGTGTATATCTGATCTCTCTGAAATAGGTTTCTTCCCATTGGGGTAAAAAAAAAAAAAATAAAAGGAAATGCCATCCTTTTATAAGAATGTATTGATGATTAATATCTCCAAAATCTTTTTTCTCAACTGACCAACAATAAGCCAGGACCAACAATGGAACCAGGACTCGGGCTTCTACCTTCACATGAAGGAAAGGCTCTCAATTTAAGCAGCAGGGAGTCTGGTATACATTATCACAAAGAAGGTGCTTCATCATGTGTTATGCCAAAATATTTATTGGTCATACAGCAAATTTCAAGCGTACATGATCTACATTCCTGGAGAAAAGTGAATAAAATTGTGTGAAAACCAAAATGACCATGACTCCTGGGTGACAAAAAAAAGCTTCCAGTTTGAGGCTTTATAAAACTTACTTGTAGAAATGCTAGATTTGTGAATATTTTCTATCATACAGAAAATGCTCTAAAGTTTTTATCATGAAAGTTTTTGAAGCCTTTAGCTTGTTTTGGTAAAGAGCAACAGTTGTTGAAACTTTGACAAGGAAATTCCACTTTCACCTTGTTGGGAGGCAGCATTTTCAGCAGTACTCAACAGATGTATTCCATTTTTTGCCAAAATTTTTGGTTGCTATGGCAGCAACCCTTTCCACTCATTTGTTGAGCTGGGCATCATTTATAAGCCATCATTAAAACCAAGTGGAAAGGGTTAATACAATATTCTTGACTGTAGTGTCATCATGTTGTCTTTTAAAAGGAAAGTCACTGTGTGTAAGGGTGTTTTTTTTAAAGAGGACCTGGAAAGGAAGTGACTGCCAAACAGAATCCATGATTAATATGAAACTAACATTTCTCTTCCCTCTTGAAAAACAGCCTTCATGGCTCAAGATGAGAAATATTTTGGGAGATGCTGAGACTGCATCTACCTCATGTGTGGAAAAGTTACTTTTATGACTGTCCTTTGAAATACTATCGCTTTTCATTCAGGCAACCAGATGGTTGAAACTTTCAGAAAGCAAATTTTGTGGTGTTTTCAATGTTGTACAAAAAAATTACACACCTAGTATTTCCACAGTTGATTTCATAAGGTGTCAAACAGGATGCTTTTTTTTTTTGCACCACCTGATATATAGTGGAGAGAGTATCAAGTAAAGGGCATGTGGTTTGATTTGCAATAGAGCCAGATGGAGAATCAGAAGAAAGAGGAAGGAGATCAAGTACGTCTACTCCTGGTCCAACCACACAGTGCCAGATATGTAACACAGAATGCCTTAATGCAACAATGCTGAACTTCCACATTCTCAAATACCACATGGAGAAGCCTCTGACTGGGGGAGCACTTGGAAAGAAGGATGGGTCAGCAGCGACAGTAACTGTGACTTCATCAACAGCTACATCAACAAGCGTGACAGCATCAGGGCTTCGTGAGCGCATGACAATGGTCCTCGGTGGTCTCCTTGACAAGGCGCTGTCCAAGGCTAACATCAAAAAGGAATTTAGGTATGATTCCTCTCTTCTTTCCATCGCACTTGGAGAATTATTCTGTAGCCCATGTCAGGCTAGGCTTGGCTTTGGGAAGTTCATGCTTTACCTTGCCATGACGCATAGCAATAGGTGACAGATGAAGGGCAGGAAATATCACAGCCAGTGGCGTAGCGAGCGGGGGGGGGAGGGAGACTTCAACTTCCCAAAGTTTGGTTCAAACCCCCCCCCCCCAAACCCTGGTCTGAATGGTACACTAACCCACAAACGCCCCCCCCCCCCCCCCCCCCCCAAAAAAAAAAAGAAGTTAGGGAAATTCTAGCCCCTCCCCCCCCGTTCCCCTTAGCGGCGTAGCCATCGGCGAAATCCTGGCTACGCCATTGATTACACCTACTCCAGGCCATTGCTGGCAACTGACTGGCGATTACTCAGAATGAGTGAACCATTGCTTCTTGTTGAAAGAAGGGCTGTCACGATGGCAGTTTTCAAAACATCGATACATCGGCGTGAACTATCGATAGTGTATCGATGCACCGTTTGGTTGGGGTGGGAAGAGAGGATCCACGCTTTTTTCCCCGCGATCGGGCGGAGGCTTTTCTTCGGTCATTTCTTGCCTCGATCGGAGCAGGGACCTCTATCCATCTTTCATAAATTCACGCTTGTGATCGGGGAGTGCAGGGGGAAAGTGTGACCTCCGCGACGAGTAATGAAGCCTACCACGTCTCCAACTATCGAAAATAACATCCATTCATCGGGAAAGCCCACATTTTTCCCTATTGCTGTTGAGAATCAGTCGCCTAGCCCCGTTCACCTAGTTTTTTTTTTTTCCTTTTTCTTCATTTTACACGGTCTTCTTTGGACATCGGCACCGGTAGATTGCGAACCTGCCGATGGCGCGATGGTGCCATACCGGCGGTTGCCGATATATTGGTACAGACCTAGATTCAAGCGACGACCTTGTAAAAATTCACTTTGGGTTCACCTTAAGAGGTAAAGTGCCCCAGGGCAAGTTAAAGATTAAATGTCTTAAGCCTGCTTACTAGAGAAAAAAAAAACCAGGAATATATAGAGGGGGATTAACCAATTTACGTTTCGAAATCAAGGAGTGTAACAGTCCGCTTTCAAAGCATGCACCTGATGAGATCGAACCGAAGACTGAAACAGAAGAGAAAGAAATATTCTCGGTCTTCCCCCCCTCTCCTTTCCCACTTCCTGTCTCCGATTCCAACATGCCTTTTTTTTTCCTTCCCGTCTTTCATGTAGTCAGTCCCAACATTTCCAGGATTTAATCGTGATAGGAAATTGCAAGCCCATGCGAGTCACGTGGCCTCTTCCATTCCCCCGCCCGGATGGACTGTATTATTGTACTGTACTCTTCTCAATCCAGCGGGACATTTCCCCCTTCGAAAATTTCTCCGATACATCGCGATGACCGAAAAAACTCGATACCTCCAACCATCGATACTGGTATCGATGCATCGACCTATCGAGACAGCCCTAATTGAAAGACTGTCGTACAAACAGTTTTGCAACTGTTTGGAGCTGTTCATTGCCAAGTGTTTAAAGAGTGATTTGATTAATTATCCTTGAAGCATATGCACATATAAAGGTTCAATTGAAAGCATTTCGTTAGAGGACATGGTCTTACCAATAGGAAGGAGTAGGTAATAGGTGTCTCATCTGACATGGGGTTTATGATATTTTTTTTATTCCAGTGGCAAAGACAACAATCTTCTTAAGATGGTAGCAAATGAAGTCTGCCAACGAATCCAAAAAGAAAAGGAAGCCATCTGGTCAAGACGTACATCAACACCTTCCAAAGAAGACCTGCATGCCCTTGAAGGAGAAGTCTCCATGCCCTACAATAAAAGACCCTTTCAATGCATCCTCTGCAGAGACAGGTACTAGGTGTTTCTTAGGAGATGTTCTGATGGCGTATGGCATTGACATGCAGTACTTTATGAGTTTGAATTCATTGATAGATTCACTAAGGTGGATACCCTTCGGATTCACCTGAAGCTTGCCCACTCTCTCACTCCAGAATTCATTGATCAGGCCTTGTCTCGTCAGGTGAGAATTTTAATCCAGGAAATATTGACCTATTGCTAGATTCTCTTCACTGAGAGAGTGGAGGATGACTTGTTTTGTGCTTCACTTGCAGTTGAAGAATGTCACAGAGGAAAAGAAACGAATGCGTGATGAGGAAAGGGAGAGAGAGAAGGAGAAAGAGAATGAAGGAGGGAGCACAGGAACTGGACAAGAAGATGGACAATCACAGTCTCAGACAAAATGTCGTGTCTGTGGCCAGGCTTTTGATGATGTGAGAGATTTGCGTCGTCACTATGGCCAGAATCATAAGGGGCATTCTGTCATCCGCAATGAGGATATTTATGGTGAGGCTCTATTGAAAGGATGATTAGTGGTAGTGCCTGGTATCTATACCCCTTGCACTTGCAACTTCCTTCCCTTGAAACTCTAATTTTCACTTTCATGCATGAATTCCAAACTTAATATACGTACTTCATTCTTCAAGATCTCTAAAGTCACCAAATGTCATCCACAATAGTCCAATACTTTTGGAAATTGGAAAGGTAGTGACTGGAGATCTTGGCGTGGTGATATTTAATGTAGTTCACCTTATTCTTACCACTGGACTGATTTCAGTAAGTGAAGCCCACTGGTCTTGCCTAACTCAGGGGAGTGTGTCTTTTGGGCATCTTAAGTGGACCTAATGCTATTTGTCAAGTACTGAATCCCTGTTGTTTGTTGTTAGCCTTCTGACAAGTACTTTCAGTGAAACATTGAACCAATCCAAGAAAATGCTGTGTTTAAACTCATCATGAGGCTGAACCTTGGGCTTAAAGGTTGAAAAAGTACTTTTCATTATATTATTTACTGACAGTCTGTAATACACACATATAAAACACAGATTTTGATTAGTGGGGATGCAGTGGTGTTTTATTTAGGAGTACCTGGACTTGTTTCTACAAAAGGGTATGCCTTTCATGGTTGCTTACAACTGGACAGAGATGTAAAGAATGAGAGAATTCCTCAATCAAAATTTCAACCTGGATACATAAGCTGGTTTCATCTGTAAATTTTGACCATTTTCCAGGTGGTTCCCTAAGGGAAAGCAACTTCTTTCAGCCTGGAAAGGAATATAGTTTTGCTCCTGACTCTTTCAGAAAGTGAATTCATGAACTTGAGCATTTCTTCTCGTAGAATAATCTGTATTTCAAAGTTACAGGCCTTCAAAACTCTGGGGGAAAAGAAAAGGATTGTAAGCACCAACTGTGCATGAAATAGGGTTAAAAAGGCTGAGAACTTCTTCATATGTTCAAAAACAAGAGCTCCTCCTTCTTGTCTTTGAGGGGGTCCATGGAAGTTTCTGCAGCCATTCTAGTACAATTCAGCTTTTCAACTGGCTTGAAAGACCAGCTAATTCCAGCGATTACCAGCTATTTCCACCTTATTCCAACCAAACCATATGGGATCCAGCTGGAATTTTTGCCTTGGAATCTGCTTGAGAAAAATCTGAAGATTGTCTTGACTATCAACCACAGAAGACCCTGAGTATGAATTCTTGGCTGTCTGCTGATTCCCTAAAGTATGTCAGTTTATGAGTTTCATGTTCTCTTGAAAAAGCTAAAAGGTGTGATGGGATAGGATATCTTCATTCCTTTCTCAGCTAACTTAAATGTTTGTAAGTTTGTGGTGCTGTGAAAACTCACCTCTTTCCTGTTAGATGGGCAAAAAAGGGAGGTCTGAGTGAGAAACACTTCTTAGGGAGAGTGTGACATAGAATGTATTTGAAATCTTTATGGTTCTGCAGGAGATTCTTTTGCCTCAAATATTCTTTCCATGTTTTTGGGGCATGATCCTCCTTATATATCTTATATAGATCTCTTTTCATGTTAAAGCATTTTGAACTTGTGTTTTTTCTTTTTAGTTTTCATGCATCTTGGCTCACTAGGCCTACAAGTATATTCTTGTGTATTTTAGGTCTGATGGCAAACAAGAGAAGCAAGTTCCTCAATGGTCCCTTTCAGTGTCCAATCTGCAATGAGCATTATGCCCATTCAGGATCTCTCTGGCGTCACATCAACAATCGACACAGGTGAGAAAAAGAACATGTCTGGGTTATGAAAAATCTGTCATGAGGTATTAGTTTATTTGGTAATGCTTTATTTGGAAGTAATAAGTCCTATTTTCTAGTGAATGGAAGGTGGAAAACTTTATGAAGGAGGGCACACCTGGGATCAAGTTGGCCAAGACCAGTCCCGATGGTCATATCATTACGCTTGAATGCTCTCTCAAGGCACCCAAAAAGCGACGAGGTGAAATGATTGATTGATTAAATTGAATTATCTCCCTTATGCACTTCTTCTATGTGAACAGAATCCTAGCTCATAATATTCACGATATTAGACCCTGTCACCAAGGAATGGGTGGAACTGGAACCAGAAGTGAAGCATGAAGAATCTACTTCAGTCTCCCCAGAAGCAGATGATTCAACCAACAATACCTCTCATTCTTGTCCTGGTATGCAACTGTCAATCCTTTCCCTCTTGAAGTAAAATGGCATAATGTAGAGGAAGGCTATTTTGCAAATGATTCAGTTATACTCTAATATGCTCAAGTTGGATTCATATAGCTTGTGCTGAGTGCAAATGTCTGGATATGTTATTCAGAAGGTGGGGCTGACTCTCCTGTGGTTGAGGAAGTCCAGAGTCACTCTGAGGAAATCCTTACCCCAACCCTGACCTCAGCTGACCTCCATCAGCCATCTTCCTCTTCCAGTTCTGAGGCATGGCCCGTTCCTGCAAAGAGAACTTATTCCCGCAGTTCCCCACTGATGATGAGCCCAGATAAGGAGAAGGATCTGGCATTCAAGCAGTTAGCCAATATGGCGACTGGGAAGAAAGAAGTTGTCCCACGTGGGAACTCTACCACCCTTATAGTTGAGAATGCTCCTAAGAAGAAAGGGGTTAAAAATGAGCCTCTAGCAGCACCTTCGGCTCAGGCAGAATCCGTTGTTAGTGGAAGCTCTGATTCTGGGAGGAGCACCTGTGATAATTTGTACAACCGTGTCTGCTCCAATATCATGCGCAAGCGAGGTGCAAAAGCAAAAGGTGATGATTGAGCATCGTCCAACTTGTGATACTCACATTTTATTATTTCTCTCTCCCATTGATTCCTCTTACAATATTGTTGCTCAGTGAAAAACTAAAGACCTTCCAATCATAGTGCCTTGAATTTTTGAGAGCCAACTGAGGAGGCCTTATTTTGAATGCTTTCTTTCTACCAGATTGGTATATATTTGAATCTGAATTCCAATTTCAAGGGACCAATTTTCTCTCAAAGAAGTTAGTGCTTGCATTTAAGAGGTAGATGTATTTGTTGATAATTTTCCTTTTTTGTAGATTGTTGAATAAATTACTATAAATGAAAATTGTGTGAAGATATGATTATAGATGCAGGGTGCAAGGGGGCACTAATTCATGTAGCCCCAGCAGTCATAGGTTCTCTAGGTCTGTGTTTCTCTACACAATGCTCATTACCCAACAAACAAGGCTATGTTGGACCATCGCTATATCAACGTTCTGAATATTTATTCAATGTTGATTCAACGTTTTGTGTTTCAAATTGTTTGCTGGGTAGCATCTTTCTTCATGACATAAAGGTTGAGAACCATTGCTCTTGGTGAATTACTACTACATATGAATGCTGTATTTGTCACAATGAAGTCATTCCAGCTAAACTCTGGATTAGATGGTTTTGGGTCTTGCCTTTTCTACATTTCGCCTCAAAGTCCTCAAATGATGACTTGGCCAACATAAGGAGCATCATAGGAGTCCAAGAAAGAATGTGAATTGACTGACCTTTCTTGTTCGCTTACTGAACTTGCTGATGACTGTAAGGTAGGGTGAGACGATAAGTAGTTCGGACCTGTGCGGCTGTAGTGCTTTGTAGGAGACGAAAGTGGTTGATGAACGGTTTCCACACGAGATTTAGGGTGTATACGAGTTATGTGGTACTTAAGCGATCGACAGCAGTGTGTCCTTTTCCTTGAATCTAGCAAACTTAGGTTTAATTATTTGATTATTAGTACACCATTCCAAAAGAAAAATGTTGCGGTGGAGAAGCAGTGGGCGAGACAGATCTTTTCATCTTTTCTTCGTCGCGCTATAGACTCCTTTAATGATTGCCATATATAATGAGTCACAAAGTACGAAAAGAGCTTTCCAACGTTTTGTCGTGATCGCGGCACATAATTCAGGGCAGTGAGAGAGGAAGGTATGTGCACTCAAGAGGCTTGGGCCAGCGCTGTTTTTGGAAAGGGATGTGATAATTCTGGTATTTACATCATTCAGGGCACGAAGGATCTGCCTCATTCCCAGTCTCACTATACAGACGCATTCAAGAACCTCTTGTCTTTGGCTTTTCTGCTGAATGCGCTTTGCCAGTATTATTTCTGGGACCATTTTCATATTCCAATGTCCATCCATACTACTGAAAAGCCTCGAGCAAGAGGTACAAGAGTACTGGGCTGTATGTACTCATTATATTTGATGCACTTTTTCAGAACGGACCGCGCATTAAGGTAAAGTACTTCTTTGTAGAGAAAACTCTTGAAATTCGCCCAACCCCTAGGCGAACCCGTGCAATAAAGCTTGGCACGTAAAGTTTGTGCTTAGTTCCCTAAAGCCATTCAGTTCTCCACATGTACGTTGAGTATATTCGCGCAAATATTAATACGACCTCTCTTCGATCGCAATTCCTTGCTCCCCGATCAATGAGCCAACAAGGCATTATGGTAGCACCTGTATCCCACTCTCCATATCTCATGCAGGCGGAGTTTTTTTTTGTCATCGACTGAAGGTGAACAGTATTACATAGATCCAGTCTACCATAACGAACAGAACTTTCTAGAGCATAATTTGCTGGCAGAACATCCTCCTGCAGAGGACGATGTTTCTTCTTCCCTGCCTTCATATCAGCTGCCTTCATTTGCCTTTTACCTCCGGGGGGCTTGAATCTTTGATGTGGCTTTCAAGATTGCCCAGAGGAATCAACACTGGCTTAACCGTTGGCGAGGCAGATGGAGGCGTAAAAGGAACACTAAAAGGCACAGAAGACAGCCGTCGAGGAACGAGACGAACTCCCATTTCCATTTAGGGAGGGGAAATATCTACGACACCGGCCGGGATGTGTGCAGATGATTCAACTGCATGCTTTTTTTTAAACACGTATTTCGAAACAGAAACATCTCGTTTCGTTCTTCCAGACAGACTAGTGTCGTATCATATACGATGCTAGTCATCTACGACAACTACTCGGATTTTATGGGAATAACTCTTCACTGGCCTATGGAGAAAATCACTGTCCGGTAGCGAACATATTACACAAAATTGATTCGCATTCGATCCCTCTGCTCGGCAAAATGTTCATTTGCATTGAAATAATCGTGAAAGTAATCAAGTAATCTCAATTGACATCAGGGGCGGACTAGGACAAAAAATCGGCCCTGGCATTTTTACTCGCACCGGCCCTCATCGAGGCTGCGGCTTATAACCCTAAACTGATTCCTGAAACGAATTACTAGGCAGTAATGAGGGAATTACTAAGCAGTAACGTGAGAATTATTAGGCAGTAATGAGAGCTACCTCATTGGGGCAGCTGGGGGAGGTTCGTCGACTCTCGACCGCAAGGCGCTGTGGAATCGCACTGCGGGGGATGGCGACGCTATTTGAAACGTGTGTAGCTGGTTCCCCCCCCCCCAAAAAAAAAAAAATCTAGTAGCGGCTCCAGGATGACAGTTCAAAAGGTCATTAAATTCTCGTAAACCGACCTGGGATGTTTCAGTATATTATAATTCATGGCAAGGGGGGGGGGGGGAGAGACATTCGTGGACGGACAGGGTTGTCATATAGTCAGAACTTGAAATTTCCTCATCTTTGCCATGCAACAATTGGAAACAAATGGAAAACGTAAGGACGAATGATCGTGAGGCATCGCAAGCAGGAATGCATGGAAACGATGTCGTGCCACGTGTCAGACAAGGAAAAGATACACGTGCTTCCAAAAAAAAAAAATCAAAAGGGTGGATGTCGCCTGAGCTCGATTTGAAACGCAAGGCAGCCCTGAATTCCATCTCCTTTGCCCTTTCTGACGAGGTCCCACTTCTCCGACCATCATCCATCAGTTCTTTAGTTAAGCAGCCAGAGCTTTTTTTTTTATTTATTTAAAGCAGGGAATGAATCATGCTCCGCAGAACTAGCAACAGCCCCTGGCCGGGATAATGCGGATATTTCGCTGAAATTCTGGGTAGGCCTACTAGAAACGCCTGACAATGTAGTGCTTCACAGTTGGGTCTGTTCCTTATATACTTCATAATCACTCATATATTTCGTTGCATAAGCCTAATAGGGTACATGAAGACCGGCCCGTCGGCCCTTGAGGGGACCAGTCCGTCTGGCCAGAGCTGTCGGATGGCCACCCAGACCCTGGTTGACATTTTTTCCCTACAGGATGTAGCTTTTCAATGACACCACATCCGCATGCTTTCGTGCATGTCTCAAGTTTGACCACGAGATTTCATGGAATGAAATCGTCGTTGGGATGAAGAATGCAAGCGGCAGCGTAAAAAAAAGGATCTGTTTCCTCGTTCTCTTTTCTGTGAAGTCAACTGCCGTACCAAAAATTGACAATCGTGCTGAGAGGGAGACTACACAGACTACTCAGTCATCGCCTCTTAATTGAAACGACTGGGAAGCCTCTCGCAGAAGCAAAGTGTACCTTTCCACGAAATGAAACTGCAAAGTGGGGTCCTTTTTAACCTTGCCTTTCTCTTTCACTCTACAGTGGCAGCATAAATCACCTCAATGGAATCGGATAGTTCACCCCAGTTAAAAAATAAAGCTAAAGCGTATATTTCAAAATAATTTTCGTCTAAGGCATCAGGCCGAAAAGACATGAAGCATGCGACGCCCGAACGTCATTTGCTCCTCGTCCTTACGTCTGCATGGATCCCCCGAGTGCATCATTCAAGATTCAAGATAGTTAATGATATCAAGAGGCGATTTCACCCATTTCGATATCACGTGTCGAGGTCGAGCGTTCCTTAATTTTAGGGTAGGCCTAAACCTCTTAAAGCTAAATATTTTTGTATTTTATTTATTTATTTATTTATTTTTTGACTATCCTAGTTACTTACTGTCTAGTACCTAACGTCAACATTGTCCCCCACCTTTTTGCCTGTCCATGAAAGCGTCCAGTTTCTTCATAAAGATAGTCACAGAAGGGGCAGCCACTACTTCGTCACCTAACGCATTCCACGCGTTTACCACTCTGCAAGTAAAGAATTCCTGTCTCGACCTGAGCCGCACCTGCGGTTTGCGCAACTTCAGTTGGTTACCTCTCGTTCTCTTGCTGCCATCAAACTGGAAAAACCTACCACACTCGACATTATCTATTCCTTTAATTATCTTGAAAGCCTGGATGAGATCGCCCCTCCTTAACCTTCGTTCGAGCGAGTACAGTCCCAACACTTCTAAACGCTTCTCGTACGATAGTCCCTTGACCTCCTTAATCAATCTTGTGGCCCTCCTCTGTACTCCCTCGAGCGCCAACAAATCGCCCTTATTTGTAGGCCTCCAAAACTGGATGCAATATTCCAGCTGGGGTCTTATCAGCGCCGCATACAACGGAAGAATAACGCGCGAAGTCCTACTTGCAACCGAACGGCGAATGTAACCTAGAATCCTGTTGCATTTGGCCACCCTCGCTTGCGCGTGCGAGGAAAACTTGAGGTCCTCATCGATAGAAACACCTAAATCTCTCTCTCCGTTTGCCTCATCCAATTTAACATCGCCGAACGTGTCGAGAGACCTACCGTTGTTTCGACCGACGTGGAGAACTTTACACTTACTTTTATTAAACCTCATGAGCCATTTCTTGCTCCACTCGTCCAAAAGACTTAAATCTCGCTCGGCTCGAGCCCTATCCGCCTCCCCCCTTATGGTAAAACCTATCTTGGTGTCGTCGGCAAATTTACTTGTCATACTTTAGCCTAGAACTGTCTTGCTTCGAGAACTAGCCAGATTCCTGCCGACCGAGGAAAGATGAATCAATTGGGGGCTACATGGGCCTCATTCTTTTTTTTTGCGAGGGTTTCCACTTGAGAAGCTGGAGGGGAGTTCTAAATTGGGCTTATCCTTTTCTTTAACGTGTTGTGTAACTAGTGGTTAATTGATTCGTTTACTAATAGTTACATTAGGGTGACCATATTTTTTTTAAAGGAAAATCCGAGACATTTCCCCTCCGTTTACGGTTGACAATAAGCCGATGAGCTGCTTGCTACAAATGAGTGGCACTGAAAGGAAAAATCGCTGGATAGTTGTCCGAGCAGGGCAGTGCCTCAAAACCAGGGGCTGTTCCAGAGAAAACGGCCTGTCCCGGTTTTACCGGGACGATCTGATCACCCTAGGTTACATTCATACCCATACCGATACGAACGAGTGACGCTTTCGATGATATCGATCGTCCGTATGAAAGGATCCCTA